AGAAGAAGAAGAAGAAGAAGAAGAAGAAGAAGAAGAAGAAGAAGAAGAAGAAGAAAGAAGAAGAAGAAGAAGAAGAAGAAGAAGAAGAAGAAAAAAGAAGAAGAAGAAGAAGACGAAGGAGGAGCAGGAGGAGGAGGAGGAGGAGGAGGAGGAGCAGAAGAAGAAGCAGAAGCAGAAGCAGAAGCAGAAGAAGAAGAAGAAGAAGAAGAAGAAGAAGAAGAAGAAGAAGAAGAAGAAGAAGAAGAAGAAGACGGAGGAGGAGSAGGAGGAGGAGGAGGAGGAGGAGAAGAAGAAGAAGAAGAAGAAGAAGAAGAAGAAGAAGAAGAAGGAGAAGGAGAAGGAGGAGGAGGAGGAGGAGGAGGAGGAGAAGGAGGAGGAGGAGGAGCAGAAGCAGAAGCAGAAGCAGAAGAAGGAGACCAAGAAGACGAAGACGAAGAAGACAAAGACGAAGAAGAAGAAGACGAAGACGAAGACGACGAAGACGAAGATGAAGAAAAAGACGAAGACGAAGAAGAAGAAGAAGAAGAAGAAGAAGAAGAAGAAGAAGAAGAAGAAGAAGGAGAAGGAGGAGGAGGAGGAGCAGCAGAAGCAGAAGCAGAAGCAGAAGCAGAAGACGAAAAAGACGACGAAGACGAAGACGAAGATGAAGACGAAGACGAAGACGAAGACCAAGACCAAGACCAAGACGAAGACGAAGACGAAGACGAAGACGAAGACGGAGACGGAGACGAAGACCAAGACCAAGACCAAGACCAAGACGAAGACGAAGACGAAGACGAAGACGACGACGACGAAGACGAAGACGAAGACGAAGACGAAGACGAAGACGAAGACGACGACAACGACGAAGACGAAGAAGAAAAGAAGAAGAAGAAGAAGAAGAAGAAGAAGAAGAAGAAGAAGAAGAAGAAGAAGAAGAAGAAGAATTCCCGTTCGGCGTCGTGACATGCTATATCTGCGGGAAAAATGGTCACTATGCACGGAACTGCTGGCAGGCACCGGCCAGGCAAAGACCAGAGGAGGACAACGTTGAAATGAGAGAGTTGATCCTCCGGATAGCTAGAAGAGAAAAAGAGGAAGAGGAGAAGAAGAAGCGGGAGATCGAAGAGGCGAGAAGAAAAGAAGAAGACGAGGGACGTGAAAGTGAGAAGATACGGGAAGAACAGGCGAGAGAAGCCAAGTTGGAAGCTACGATTCTCCGTATTCTAGCACAGAAGAAGGAAACAGCGAGGATCGTACCTGCACCACAGATCGCAATCGGACCGAAGAAGCGATCTCCTGGATCTAAAGCGCGGATGCTGCAGGAGATCCGTAGCTACATCGCCGAGTCAGAGGAAGACAGTGAGGAGGTGAAAGAGGAGGCCGAGAAATTAGTTGAAGCACTAGAGAGTCGAAAAAAGTCGAAGAAAAGCGCTACTCTCGCACGAGCAGCGGTCAGCAGAGCCGGGAGAAGGGTTTCCACTCCAAGGGAGGGAAAAGCTCCTGTTGAGGATACACCAGCGAATGATGGAGGTTTTGAGACTCCGAAGAAGGTATGCCCTGCCGAGTGTTCCAGTGAAGGGCTGATTGAGTTCGCGCTATCACAAACTAAGGTGCTGAGTGGGATGAAAGCGCACGAAGTTCGGAAGATCTGTAGCAAGGAAGGGATTGATAATGTCAAAAATGACGTATCCATCCAGGAGATTGTTAGATGTCATACTCGATTGGCGTATGAGGGTTTCTTCGAGCGAAAGACTGCATCACCATCGACTCCGAACGCACAGTGTGGCGGCCTTGACGAGATCTAATGGTAACTGGAATCACCACGTGCGACGCTGCTGCCAAGTTTTGTGAACTGACTTCTCGAAGAGCACACCGGCAGAGTATGGGTATACGACCGATGATGATTGCGGATGAAGAAAATGAAATGGCACTCCTCATCATGTTGATGGCAGTGCGGGGATGTGTTCCCTGGACTAGGAAGTTGCTCAGGTTCATCGAACCTGGGAAAGTTGATGTTAATCAGGTTGGGTTTTATGCTGTCGTGAGTCCATGTTGTAGACGTTTTTACATTGGGTGTACCGTTAGGAAGATAATTACCCGATGGGCAGAGCATGTAAGATGCTCTACTAGCGGGAACATTGGGAATGCATCGAGGCTACATACATGGCTCAGATCATTCGGGTGGCAGAGCTATGCCGTTTTACCGCTTATATCAGGGATAGAGGAAACCAAACTACTCGAAATCGAAAGCTTCGGCTGGTTGCAAAGGAGGCTTTCCTAAAATAGAAAAGAGAACAGCCCCCAGAATCTCGGGACTATCTTCGGTATCCAGTTTTTCTCTCTCATTCCGGATGTGACTTGCTAATCCGGTCAATTGGCAGTTCGGACCAATTCCACTTTGCAATTTAGCAGCATTACCCTTCATGGCCCTTACTACGACGGAGGAGGAGCAGGAGGAGGAGGAGGAGGAGAAGAAGAAGAAGAAGAAGAAGAAGAAGAAGAAGAAGAAGAAGAAGAAGAAGAAGAAGAAGAAGAAGAAGAAGGAGGAGGAGGAGGAGGAGGAGAAGGAGGAGGAGGAGGAGCAGAAGCAGAAGCAGAAGCAGAAGCAAAAGCAGAAGAAGGAGACGAAGAAGACGAAGAAGAAGAAAAAGACAAAGACGACGAAGACGAAGACGAAGACGAAGACGAAGACGAAGACGAAGACGAAGACGAAGAAAAAGACGAAGACGAAGACGAAGACGAAGACGAAGACGAAGAAGAAGAAGAAGAAGAAGAAGAAGAAGAAGAAGAAGAAGGAGGAGGAGGAGGAGCCGTAGAAGCAGAAGCAGAAGCAGAAGAAGAAGACGAAAAAGACGACGAAGACCAAGACCAAGACCAAGACGAAGATGAAGACGAAGACCAAGATGAAGACGAAGACGAAGACGAAGACGAAGACGAAGACGAAGACGAAGACGACGA